GTGACTCCGAAAGTTTTAATCCTCCAACGTTTTAACCAGGCGGGCGGACATAACGAGTCGGGTGGCAATATCGAATTACGCACATCCGGCCGCGATCAGACGCTGTACATTCATACGGACAAAGAAGAAACGCGCATCCGGCCGTGACAAAACGCCGTAGATTCGTCCAATCAGGGAAGAAACGCGCATCCGGCTGCGATCAAACGCCGTAGAGTCGTACCGACCGAAGAAGAAACGCGCATCCGGCTGCGATCAAACGCCGTAGAGTCGTACCGACCGAAGAAGAAACGCGCATCCGGCTGCGATCAAACGCCGAGAGCTGCACCGAACAAAGAAGAAAGTTCGTCGCAATTACGCTCAAAAAGGATGGCAAGCAGATTCGCCCCGTCGAGAGGGGACTGCCAAATTATGGGTTACGCAATTCGAGGCCATAATCGCGCCACCAGAGTTACGACGCACTCAACGCCAGGCAGATTAGTTATTCCAGGACACACGCAAGTAATAAGCTTCTGGTGACCTACAAAACGGGGAACAGAACCCAGCGCAGCTAGGAGAGCAGCGACTAGCGAGGTCCAACGAGTCGGCAAAGAAGACTTGGACAACCACCGCCTGTGCATTCAAGATCGAAAATTAGGTTTAGACATTAGGTTAAATAGGACAATAGTGTAGACATTAGTGTTATGTGACGTCAAGCTACTGCAAAGAAACTGCAAATACAGCACGTCCAATTGAGTTACTGGCTATTTTGCTGTCCAAAGACCAATTTTTCAGGTACCTAAAGTGGGAAACTGATAGTCTATACGGACCACAGCCATTGACTTTAGCCCTACAAAAGTAGGTACGGCTAAGGAACGCCTAAAGAGTTAGGCAACTTATTAGTATAAGGAATTTTTAGCATTAGGTACATAGGCAGTTCTGAGAACACAGTTGCTGACGCGTTATTTCGCGTGGAAACAATAACGCGCCCGACAACTATCGACTTCGCCGAACTAGCCACAGCTCGGGCACAGGATACTCATATTACGCAATCAGTAAACTTAGAGTCACGTTTGCAACATTGTAGCTACCTGACTAAGACAAACTGAATTATTGCGAAATGGCCAACGGCAAACCGTATCCGTATGTACCTAGCAGTTTTATAAAAATAGTATTTCAGGCATTGCACAATTTAGTATTACGGCACCTGAATTTTATTATTTGTTTTATTTTATTATTTTCCCTTTTTCATTTAACTCGTTGTTATAGAAAGCAAACAATGTAGTATTACGATTTTATTGTTTTTATTTTTAACTTTGTTCATCTAGGATGAAGTGTATACCATTCCATAAATAGAACACGCACCACATTTTTACATTGTAACTATAAAAGGTATTGTATTACTTAAGTACTTACTTAATATAAACAAGGGCGTCGCACACAGAATGACGCATCAGCGTTCTAATTGCATTGTATACATTGTATTCATTTGGGTTCCGCTAGTAACTTTTGAATGTGAATTAGCGATACATTTTTTTTTTTTCCTTCATATATATTTTTTGTTTAACAAATGTGTTCCACATTTTTCAAAAAGGGGGGGAGTACTGTGGCGACAGCCCTATGCTATTGTGTCGACAGCCCTAAGCTATTATGTTGTGTTAGCATTTTCTGTACTAAGCCAGGCGGACGGCAGAGACGCGACAGGCAGTCAGCTACAAGCCTCGGTAGCGACCACACATATATACGCACACCCGACTCCCCCCGCCTGGTTAAACCTTTCTCTCTGTGTATTTCATGTACGTGTCGTGTGACATTAAACTTTAGTTAACTACCAAAATCGAGTATTCATTCCATCTCTAAACAACACGTCAGTTAGGTAGTTAAAGTGGTGACCCCGACGAAGAACAAACTCGCAACCTCATTTAGGTAGCTAAAATACCATACATTAAATTTGCTTTAACGTTCGCCAACGTCCATACCATGTTGAATACACCGGTTCTCGTCCGATCACCGAAGTTAAGCAACATCGGGCGTGGTTAGTACTTGGATGGGTGACCGCCTGGGAATACCACGTGATGTTGGCTTTTTGCTATTTATTTTCGTGTCATCTTGTCAGACATTCAGCGCCATCTATCGAATAGATAGGAAATCATTTCGCAAGGAGATTTTACCAATGTATAAATTGTTTTTAATATGTAGGTAATAGCCGCTTTCATAGATGGCGTTGTAATTAAAATCGTGTCAAATCAGTTTTACTAGATCGTCACAACTTCGTTCCTATCGGGTGTCCCACGACACCACACGGCTTTTTTTTTTTATGTACGTGTAGGTACTCGTGCCTCCTTGCGCTTGTGTATTTTATTCAAATACTGTGCTCAATATGCGTGTATAATTTATGTAATCTTTATAAGCAGCTGTTTTGTTTCGTCAACGTTACTTTAATTTGTAATTAGACAGTAAATGGAAAGAAGAGAATTAATTTTATTGTACTAGTCTATGTGACAGAGTTGCAATATGTTTTTTTTTGCATAGAAAATTGACTGGCCGAAGTGATAAAGCCTAATAGAAAAACTAACAGAAAAAATCTTAGGAGGAGGAGAGAGGGCCGATACCGAGTGTAGAGGACACCGGCGGCGATAACAGCCGTTGACGGGGCCTGGTCGCAAAATCGGTCCCACAACACATGATGTTTGGGCCGACGGGCAAGCTTGTGGCTTCCCCCAGGTAGGGCCCTGGCTAGAAGATCTATGTCCTCCCCAGAGTGGAAACACCGAATAACCCTAATAATATATAATAATAAAGTGTAAAATATGAACGATTTACATGAAAATACTGTAGTTAAATATTATCACAAGTTCACTTTATTTTACTTTTACCTTAATTTTATTATACATATTTACCTAACGTGTAACTGTTGAATGTAACATAAAATAGATAAATAAATTAAGATATTTAATTGGTGCAAGACAATACTAAATTTAATTTTGATGAAGTTGCTGGCTCAGCTGGTATGTACAAAGAAAAACAGTTTTTATCACTGCTGATAAAAACCGTAGTCGCTAGTTCTTTATTAAATGATAGCTTAATCTAAAATACTGTCGGCAGGTGTTCTGTTTATTTTTAGTATAATTTTGTAATTGTTGTCCTGCACACATATGTATACCAAGAGAAGATGGTGCGTGTAAACGTTAGCGAGGGCTTGTTGGAGGGAGAACTGGTGCAGAACGAGTATGGGGGCACATTCTACAGTTTTAAAGGCATTCCTTATGCTCAACCGCCGGTTGGAAGCCTCCGCTTCAAGGTACAAACATTAATTTTCTGTTGTTTTTTTGGGTTACTTTTTATCCAGGCAGTTCTTTATTTACGAGAATTCAAGTTTTATGTGAGATATAAATTTCAAATATGAAGCAAAAAAAAAATGATGTTGGAGCTATTTTTTGAAGTTTAAACTTTTTTAATTCTAATGTTTTCTTGATATTTGGCTTAATTTCGAATATTCGCACGCCCGTTGGGTGCCTATCTCTATGTGTGTGATGTTTCAATGCACACACATGTTATAACCAGATAATAAAGACGTAGGTATATAATGTTGGTTGGTCACATGCATGTGTGCACAACACAACATACCTAAACACCTATTTTTCTTCGTAGTTTTTTTAGTTTTCTTCGTATTGAACTGCCAGTGGTAGCACCTATATGAAAGCTATGCTAAAATTCAGCACAGTAGTAATTAGAATCAGTGGCATAATACTAAAATTAGCTTACTTACACTGTATGCCTGATGACGAGTGGTGACTGTTCGGGCCTTAGTGCCTGATCACTTTTTGAACTTTTTATTTTCATGTTTTTTTTTTTCAATTTTCAATTCTGTTACTTTAAAATAACTGAAGTTTGCGAAAAAAAGAGACTATGTAATTTAATGAAAAAAGTGATTATTTTTCATAAGATAATTTATCTATATAAATAATGATAAATCATTTTTATTTATATACATAGATAAGTATAATATGGTAAAACGTTTTCTCCTTATACGAGTAGAACCTAATGTTATATGGTTATTTTTGCTGTTTCACCCTTTGTTGTACAACAATTGTTGGAGCGCCTACGTCGAATGCGTTAGCAATATGTCAACGCTCATAGTGTAAGCTCACTGTCACAATCCTGTCATGAATATTGTCTCATTTAATTTTTATAGTTTGTAAGTTCATTATAAAAGCTCACAGCATACAGTCCACACGCCTGCCTTTTTATTTCGTGAAGTCCTGAATTCCTAAACAACAATAGTATAAAAGAAATTTGTAAAAGAGATAGAACAATAAGATTTTTTTTTAATGTTCCAGGCCCCACAACCACCAAAACCGTGGGTCGGAGTACGTGATGCAAAACAATTCGGCTCCATATGTATTCAGTTTGATCCGATGACAAAAGTTGTTGCGGGCAGCGAGGATTGTTTGTATCTCAACGTGTATACACCAAATCTTAAAGCAGACAAGCCTCTTCCAGTCATGTTCTGGATACATGGAGGGGCATTTCTCTCTGGTAGCGGAGAAGACGACCTGTACGGTCCTGAATTCTTAGTTAAGGATGGAGTAATAGTGGTCACTATTAATTACAGACTTGAGGTACTCGGGTTCCTTTGCTTAGAAAATAAAGATGTACCTGGAAATGCTGGCCTTAAAGATCAAGTGGAAGCTCTTCGATGGGTCAATAAAAACATCTCCCAATTTGGAGGCGATCCGAACAACATCACGATATTTGGAGAGAGCGCCGGCGGTGCCAGCGTCAGCTACCATCTTATATCGCCAATGACGAAAGGGCTATTCAAAAGAGCCATTACCCAGAGTGGTAGTGCTTTATGTCCTTGGGCAAGACAACACAAACCTCGTGACAGAGCATTGGCGTTAGCCAAACAGCTCGGCTGTTTCTCCGAAGATGATTATGAATTATATGAGTTCTTTAAAAACCAACCGACCGAGTCTCTCATAGCTGCCTCTGTACCAATAATAATATCGGAAAAAAATACGATGATATATTTTAGTGTCGTAGAAGAAAAAAATATTGAAGAAAATGAAAAATATTTTGCTGGAGATTTCAGTTCGGTACACGATGGCGTCGAAATAATGACTGGATATAATTCAGATGAAGGTCTTATTGCTCTAGGACTGGGCGGTTCTATCACAAATTATTTGGAAATGACAAGAATTTATGCGGAACTCTTTTCGCCACAGCTTTTATCATTTCATCTAACTCCAAATCAGAAACTGGAATTCGGAAAAAGATTCAGGAAATATTATTTTAATGACGAATTCGATATTTCTGATGGTTGGGAAATATTAAATAAATTCTCTTCAATGGACATTTTTGTGTACGGTATAGTTAGCTTTGCTAGAGTTTGTGCAAAGAAGGAGAAAGTGTATTTATACAAATTCAGTTGTAAGTCTGAGAGAAATAATTTCGCTCACCTACTAGGCCTTACAGATGTCATTAAAAATAAACCGGTGACATGTCATGGGGACGATCTTTCATACTTGTTTAATAGCAAGCTAGGAAATAAGGTCAATAGCAAATCTGACACGTTCCAGCTTATGGAGAAAGTGATTAAACTTTGGACTAATTTTGCAAAATATGGGTAAGATTTTGATTGATTGATTTTGTTGAACTTAATAGTAGTCACTATATATTTAAGTTGTTCATCTATACGTTTTGTTTTGTTTTTTGTGTGCTACAATAACAAATATCGTGATTTCAGAAATCCAACTCCAGATGAATCTTTAGGAGTGAAATGGGCAAATTATACAGTTGAGAAGCAAGATTATTTGGACATTGGCAATAAGTTCGTCCCCGGAACTGCGCCTGACGCTGACGAGGTTAAGTTTTGGGATGCTATCTTTGAAGAGTGCGGATATAAACTAACTTAGTTTTATATGTTTCTATCATAAATATCTATTTGCTCAGGTTCAAAAATAAATCAAAACCAAATTGTGACTTTAGTTTTAATTAGATTGCAAGCCTAGCGCTAACGCGCTGACCACTGAGTTAGAGGCGTTCATGGGCGGCGGTAGTCGCTTTCAATAAGGTGACTCGTCGGCTCGTTTGCTCCCTATTCCATAAAAAGAAAAGGTGATTAAAATCACGTTTTAATTATACATTTAGAGAAAGGAGTATGTAGTACTAGAGACAGAGAGAGAGAGAGAGGGAGAGAGAGAGAGAGAGAGAGAGAGAGAGGGAGAGAAAAAAGAAAGGGAGAGAGAGAGAGAGAGAGAGAGAGAGAGAGAGAGAGATTAAAATATGCATTGTAAAACCCGTTTGAGACATTTTCATAGGGACTCATTCAGGCAAAATTAGAGGGATGGGGAAAATAGAATGTATTCTCTAGTAATTTTGTGTAGATAATTGACTAAAAATTCATGAGTGGGTATATTTTTAAAAAGTTGTTACACTTACATTGCTTAGGTATGTGTACATATTTTTAAATATTATCACATTACAGGGTATTTTTGTGAAACGGTTTTATTTAGCATGCTCTGTTTATTGATGACCGGATGGCGTAGTGGTTTGTGTAATGGACTGCTGTTCTAAAGGTCGCGGGTTCGATTCCCGCTCAAGTCAAACATTTGTGTGCATGAACATTTAATGTTTAATTTCGTCTGGGCGTTTCTACGTGTAATACGTATGTATTTACAAAAAAAGTATATATGTATTTATTCTCTATTATTGTCTGGTGCCCTTTGTACAAGCTCTGCTTAGTTTGGGACTAGATGGCGTTCTGTGAATGTTATAGAATATTATTATTATTGAATTGTTTTTATATCAAATTATGTAATTGAAATTTCTGTTATCAGGTTGATTCGATAAATGATAAATGAAATTTATTTCTGTAAGTAAATCTTTGCAAATATTTTTACAAGTCGGATATTAAGTACACAGATTTATTTCTGATGACAATTAGACATACTAGGTATCATTGTAAATCCAAGATAGCCGATGCAACAAAAAAATTTAATTTAAGGCTTGACTAATTTGTGAAAAGGTGCCAATTTTTATGACCATAGGTTTGGCTAATTTCTTTAATGGCCGACTGTCAGCCTTTCTTACGCATGTAATCGTTTTCAGATGAGGCGAAGAAAGCAGTTAAATTGGTAGGAAATGGATAGGCCGAGAGGGAGTAGGGTAAAAAGTGGGAACTCCTCTCGATCTACGATTTTTTTACCTCCTGTACCTACTGTACTGTTTACCAATTTCTACCTATTTTTTTCCCGACTTCATTTGACATTATTTCTTCCATTCTCCTTGATTCTCCTCGACATTTTCTTTCACGAACTGCTCCATTTTATAGCGAAATAGTTTTGGTTTAGTATTAGCAACGGTACTCAGCCATGTGTTTCATACTTCATTCAAAAGCACAAGAAGTCGTTGTAAATTTCTGTTTGTGTTGAGGTTGTTCATTTCTGTTTTGGAAATGTAGAACGATAGATTTGTATCATTATCAACACGTCCTTGAAACAGACTGCGGCAAATAGTCTGACATGATAGCAAAATGGGACAGCATAATGGTTAACTATGTTATAATCATCATCATCATCATCATCAGCCTATCGCAGTCCACTGCTGGACACAGGCCTCTCCTATTGCACGCCACTTAGATCGATTTTGGGCTTCTCGCATCCAGCTCCTGCCAGCCATCTTGCGCAAATCGTCACTCCACCTGGCCTGTGGGCGTCCTACACTACGTTTGCCGAGACGCGGTCTCCACTCAAGAACTCGTTTTTGTTTTATAATATTGGCTGTCATTAACAAGTACAGACACTAAGTTAGCAGAAAATAAACCGTACACTTATCTTCAATGTTTGTCAATGAAAAAATCTGAATATCATGTTTACATAATGTACAGAACACAGAAGAATAACCAACAGAAAATGTAACAACCGCACTAGTTAATGCTTAATGATGACACGCGCTGCTACGTGTTTATACTAGTTTGTTCACAATGGGAATCGGGCCTACGTATTCAGGCGCAATCATCAAATATCGTAGACACCTTGTTGGCCTATCTTCGTTTAGGAGATAGTTGTGTTTCATCGCATCCTTGTCACTTTGAGGAAAGTGATAGTCTCGAACAAGTCTAGGGCATATTTTTCGAGACCTGAAATAACATGGTCCAAGTCCTCCCAGAACAGGGCACCTGAGGCCGGCCGCCGGGTTTTTTTTAAGTGGAATCACCACATACTCCTGGCTCCTGAGGCCCCGAGGAGCAGGCGATCCGAAGGGATTTTCCACCCCGTCAACAAAAAAAGGCATATTTTTCGAAATGCCAATTTTATAGACTTAATCCGTCATGGTCTTGTTATATTCCATTTGTATGGTGACCCAATTCTGTAAAATAACGTTCAAGTTATTTTCTTTTCTAAGTTGTTTTCTTCTTGAACAGTTACTCTATCTATAAGGTGCGTAAAACTTCTGGTTATGTACGATCGCTGATTGCAAGGCTCCCAGACACCTTTCGTAATATTCTTGTGTATCGGCCTCTCCAAATGATTTTGGGTTAGGAAATTTCTTTAGGAACTTATGTTGACGATAATCAGTCCTCCAACGTTTCACGCCACCATATGATATATTATCGCCTAACTCATTTTTGATATAAATTTTAGAAATATGTAACGTAATTATAACTTATGATACTTGTTTTGTTACTTGTTTTTCCGCGCTACTCTTTGTACTTATCACAACAAAGATAAATATGTGATAATAATTAAATAATAATTGAATTATTCAGGCCCCAAATTTCGTGTCAAAGGTGATTGCAAGCCAAGGTTTGTTCTGCATGCTGGAGTATAGAAAAGTTTAAGTATTGGTTGTCTGGGATAGTGGTGAGGAACGGATATTGAAATTATGGACTTGAAGTGTTTAGTTTTCTATACTTAAAAATTAATTATATATCCGGAATTGCTGGTCTTAAAATATTTCCCAATTCGGCGACGATCCAAACAATATCACGATATTTGGTGAGAGCGCCGGCGGTGCTAGCGTAAGCTACCATCTTATATCGACTTTGACTAAAGTCTATGCAAAACAAACATTACCCAAAGTGGTACCGCTTTATTTCCTTGGGCAAGACAACACAAGCCTTATGACAGAGTATTGGCTTTAGCGAACTAACTAACTCGTATTCAAAATGACTCAGTTTTTCGAAGTGTCATTCTTTCACGTTTCTTTAATTTAATGGACACATTACACAATCGAGAAGCAACATTATTTGGACGTTTGTTGAACGATATCATGAACGGTAAAATTCGTTTGTATTTTTGTTGTTTTTTTTTTTATATTTGTTACCCCAGAACTACGTTATTTACTAACCGACTTGAGAAAATAATTTTTACTTTGGGAGGATATATGTATTTCCCGCTTGGTCCCATTCAAATATAAAGAAAAAGGGGTGAAAATTGACGAATAAAGAACACAGTTTATTGCAATTAAATATGTTGTAAGTGCAATGAAGTCGCTAATACTTTTTTGGAGTTTAAATTATTGCCAAAAAATAAAATAATGTAAAGCTTTCTATTTGCCCATCTTATCTTAATATATATAACACGAAAGTCTTAGAAAAGTGGTTAGCGGTTAGCGGATCGTGGGTTCGGTTCCCACCCAGAACAAATATTGTGTGCCAAGCACGATAATTTATTAAGTGTCTGGGTGTAATTAATCTATAATATGTTTGTAATCAGAAATATATAAGTATGTTTATCAGCAGTCTGGTTACCATAACACACGCTCTGCCTAGTTTGGGATCAGTGACGCCATTGAAATAGGCTTGCGCCCTTTAAAATAGGTAAGACTAAACTTATTATCGGCAAAATTATCGTGTTTATTACGTCTAGCCCTTCGGGGATAAAGACAGGAGTGTGTATGTGTGTGTAGTATATATAACACGCCGATGGCTTATACTTATTTGGCGGAGGCGTTTCCTGAGGAGAAACTTTCAGAGAAATTTATTTTTTCTTGTAATTCTGCTCTATTCCCCCTAAAAAAAACACAATTAATTAACAAAATATTATGATTGCAGAAATCCAACTCCAGATGAATCTTTAGGAGTAAAATGGGTAAATTATACAGATAAGAAGCAAGATTATTTGGACATTGGCAATAAGTTCGTCCCCGGAACTGCACAAAATGCTGATGAGATTAAGTTTTGGGATACCATTTTCGAAGAGAGCGGGTGTAAATTTTATTAATTTTATTGTTAATAATAAAATGATGTCAAGTTTTCTAATCGCTGATGTTCAAAAATAAATTAATGTCAAAAAGGATTTAAGTTTAATTTGATTTTATTGATTTTCACTCGCAATATATTTCAGTGAGTGAGTTGTGTGAGGATGCGTGATACTAATTATTTTGTACTAGCAGAGACGACGACTCCGTGTGCCTGGAATTTAGTGCTGTCGTGTACAACTTGGATATCTAAATAACCTCGCACATCTCACACACGGCTGTCTGATCCCAAACTAGGCAGAGCCTGTGCTACGGTAACCAGACTGCTGATAAGCATACTTATATATGAATACATACATATTATAGATAAATTACACCCAGACACAGAACAAACGATCGTGCTCATCACATAAATATCTGTTCTGGATGGGAATCGAACCCACACAATCGGTTTAGCAGTCAGGGTCACTAACAACTAGACCAACAGGTCCAAATATTATAAATCCACCATACAATTCTAATCAAAGTTTTGAGATAAAGATAAGATATATTCAAGAAAGAAAGAAATGAGTTTTATTTTTTAATTGATATACCTCAATAAGGATAGATTCATAATATCTTAAATCTGGACCAATCGTCGTGATACCAAGACCGCGGCTTTACAAGAAGCAGGTATCAAGCATTTGTTTCGTTGCCTTTCATCAGGTGTGGAATGATTGGAATTTCCGAAGATTATAAGAGATTCCGAAGATCAGGCAGCCGATCGTACAGGTTTGGACCAATGTGTAATAAATACCATAAACACCTACATGACGGCCTCGACTAAAATGTGCAAGGGTTGCCACAAAAATGCTCATGATCGTAGGTAGCTGGGTAAAAATAGCATTTGCTTAATTGAACTATATTTTACCTATATATCTTGGGTTCCTATTCTCTTGATGACCGGATGGCGTAGTAGTTTGTGTAAGACTGCTATTCCAAAGGTCGCGGGTTCGATTCCTGCTCAAGTCAAACATTTGTGCATGAACAATTTAATGTTTGATTTGATCTGGGTGCTTCTATGTATAATATGTATGTATGACTGCCTCGGTGGCTCAGTGGTAGCGTATGCCACTGCTGTTTTGAGGACTCGAGTTCGATTCCTGGGCCGAGCCAAATATTTGTATGCTTTGCGAATATTTCTTTCGGAGTTTAGGTGTTTCCTATATATAATATTATGTATTTACATAAAAAAGTATATACGTATTCTATCAGTCAATCTAACATTCATAGTACAAGCTCTGCTTAGTTTGTAACTAGATGGTGTTGTGTGAATGTGGTACAATAGATTATATTATTCCGTTTAAAAAATTGGATAAAAGGTTCAACAATATAGTTTACAACAGGTTAAAATTACATTATAGAATATGTTATTTCTTTCGTTTCGTGATTTCAGTTGGTGAAAATATTGGGAAAGGATTTTGGTAAAATTGAATTCTTACAACCATGTGATTGCTGCATTCCATCACGATATTAATGTATTTTTTTAATTAATAATTACTAATATTAATAAATGTATCCGATTAATATGACTGCACGGATGGCGTAGTGGTTTAAGCAGATGACACTTTGTGTGATCCACAAATTGTTGTTCTGAGTCTGGATGTTCTTTCTGAGTCTGTCCGTTTCATGTATGTTGTAAAGTCCCCAGTAAATATATATAAATACTAGCTGACCCGGCAAACGTTGTATTGCAAAAAAAAAGGGATGGGTCACCCTTACCATTTAGGGGTATGAAAAATAGATGTACGCCGATTCTCAGACCTACCCGATGTGCACACAAAATTTCATGAGAATCGGTCAAGCCGTTTTGGAGGAGTACGGGAACGAAAATTGTGACACGAGAATTTTATATATAAGAAATATATTATAACAGTAATACAAGTATTTTTGTAATTATGTATATGTAAAGGTATTTTAAACCACTAAATACATCGAGTGTTTTATTATACGCTCTTTCTCTTATACCTATTTTATTAATAGGACAGTAAAGAAACAAAAATAGTGCATGGTTCAAGATAGCATTAAGTTAAAGGCACAGGGAGTCGCCGACTCTGCTAGTGCAAAATAAAGCAATAGTCACGGTGATTTCATAATAATAACTTAACACATCTCACACACGGCAGTCTCCTCCCAAATTAGACAGAGCCTGTACTATGGCACGGTAATGTTAACTACCAGTATTGTGACTTTGCCCTGTCCTTGAAATAATTACCTACAGCCGCGCGGTACGTAGGTAAACATGCGATAGGGCTGCCCGCCTACAGTAGGTATTTTAATTTCATCTACCAACTTGAGTTTGTTTCTAGTTTAGTGATTGTAAATTTTATATTTTTATTTAAATAATTAAAATCGTTGTGAATGAACTTGGAAGTGTTCAATAATAATCATCCATATAAACTTCAATACCTCAGTTCTCATCCAAAATGCAAGAAACAGCTGACAAGTAATTATAATATTACCAACGGAGCAATTCGACAAAACATTTTTTTGGTCACCCATCCGATGTCGAACCGCTACAAACGTTACCATTTCATTGCGAGTGACAAAACCTACAGCAATCGAAATTTCTAACTATCTACTACAAAATCTTACTTCAAAAGTCAATGATGATGTAATCCTTAATATGTAGGTTCCTACCTTTTATTACTCTCATAATCATTTAATTCATTAATATCTCTAAGTAGCTGAGTACATAAATAAGCTATGTAAGTTTTTTTTTGTAAATATGTCAATCAAATAATAATAATAATAATAATAATATTCTACCACATACACACAACGCCATCTAGTCCCAAACTAAGCAGAGCTTGTGCTATGGGTACTAGACAACTGATATAAATACATATATACTTTTTTTTTTTGTAAATACATACATATTATACATAGAAACACCCAGACCAAATCAAACATCAAATGTTCATGCACACAAATGTTTGACTTGAGCGGGAATCGAACCCGCGACCTTTGGAATAGCAGTCCGTTACACAAACCACTACGCCATCCGGTCGTCTAATATTCGCGCGCGCTTACTGCTTAGAAAACCATCATACTGTCCGTTCGTTACTGTGCATTCGAGACCATAGATAATACACTATAAATCCAAGATCTGAGATAAGTATCGAGTGTGTACTTAACTCGAAGCGCGTATCTAGGTATGACTTGCGTTCCGACCGTTTGTATGAAGAAATAATACTAGTAGATACCATTACCTACCGTGACTGTGATAACCAGCCCGCTGATAAACATACTTATACATTTGTAAATACTTATATTAAAGATAAATTGTCTTTTTTTGACGATACCACAATCGAAACACAGTTCAGCAAGTTCTGATTCGTTTTAATGACATTTTGGACTTGCTGTCGTGCGCACGTATATTAAGAGAAGATGGTGCGCGTAAACGTAAGCGAGGGATTGTTGGAGGGAGAAGTGGTCCAGAACGAGTATGGGGGCACGTTCTACAGTTTTAAAGGCATTCCATATGCTCAACCGCCGGTTGGAAACCTTCGTTTCAAGGTACAAAAATTCATTTTCTGTTGGTGGTAGTTTATAGTTTTTAGTTCGTAAGTTCGTTCGTAGTTTAGCTTTATGTTTGTTTTAAATATCAAGTATGGAGGAAGGAAAAAGTGATAGTGATAGTGGTTTTATCTATAGTTTAATGTTTTTATTCGAACGTTTTTTTACACTTAGTTTCAATTTTAACTTGAGTCCTGTCCTTAGTTTGTTATAATCTAGGATCTGAGTACTATCCGTGTACTTAACAACTAAGAAAATGTACTTCAACGTATATATATCTATCAGCATATAGCATAGGCTATATATATATTTTTTTACTTAAGTCAGAAGCACACGAAAGTATTGTAGATTTGGTTTGTTCAACTCTGTGGCGACTCCCACATACAAAGGAACAGAAACATACTACAGCGACATCTAACGAAGAAACACCAAACTTCGGAGTAACTCCTGAATGACAATCGCTAATCCTGTATCGCGGTATTAACAATTCTCTCGCCGATTAGCATATAAACTTCCCAACATCCATCGTGGGGCCGCGGCCCACCAGGCACGATCACCTCGCCTGGTCGGAGGATACTCCCTTTGTGTTGAAGGGACATGTCACCCGAGGAACGGGTGTCATCTACCTCCAACAATTGTATACGAGTATATAACAGAATGATACATTTTTTTAAAGAACTTTGTCTAATTATTCCAAAATCTTCCTACACAAGTTTTAACCTGTCCTGTAGGTCTTTATAGCCAGATTTATCACGAGATGTAGACGTTGGCATATATGACATTTTTTATTTTAGTAAACGTCTGTACTGCTGACGTTAATAATTCTAAAAAAAACTTTTATTTTTCAAGTACTCCAATCAGTTTTTTAACTGTATTATTACCAATACGTCCTTGAAATAGGCTGCGTCGAAAAATCAAATATGATATCTATACACACTGTGATAACACGCTAATTATAGCCTTCTAGTTATAGTATCGCCATTATTCGTACAGAGTTAATTTATCGTCTTTAATACAAACACTGAGACGGTGGGATATGTTTGTCGATATTTTAGTGTACCAAAAATACCTAGGTTAATCAAGCGTATTACAAGACCGATGTCGTCAATGCTTGATAGATAGCTAAGCTATCAGTCAAAGCTAATCAAGCTATTAGCTTTGATTGATAGCTTAGGTTTCAGACATTGTCCCAGTGTTTGTTAGCTTTTGATCCACACTCTCAAAGGTAAGGATGCCCTGATTAAGCTAATTAGTTAGTAATAATAATTAAAATTATTAGTTAATAAAATAAAATTAGTTGCATGTTAATTTCTTTTTTAGAGGTGGATTGTTTTTGTTTGTGTAATAAAAGTTTGAACAGTCACTCTGTCAATAGGGTGTACTTATAGTGCACCAGGGTCTTCCTTTCTAGGGTATATCTGGTTCCCCGGCTATTAGTACCCGAGACGGCGTGCGGTTTTAGTCAGTTCGAGTCCGACATGCCACCGATAGGTGGTATCCGAGGGGATTTCCGCACGGAAAAAGAAAGGGTGTATTTATAGCATAAGTGTTTGCCACTGTTTGCGTGTGATTGCCCACTGCATCTGGGAGCCACCCAAACGACGTCATTTAAGATGATCTTGTGTACCGGTCGCCCAGTAAGATGTTGAACTCATCGTTCAGGAACTTACATAGACAAAAATGTAAGTGACGTTAGTGACTGCACGGATGGCGTAGTGGTTTAAGCGGTCGCCACGCCGCTTACTACTACGCCGAGTGTTGTGGGGCCGATCCCCACATAGGACGACACTTTGTGTGATCCACGAATTGTTGTTATGAGTCTGGGTGTTCTTTGTGTCCGTTTCATGTATGTTTGTAAAGTCCCCCGCGACACAGGATTTATGCCTAGTGCGGGAGTTGTCTTTTTAAAGAAAAGAAAAAAAAACAGTCATTCTACCTATTACCTCTTTATCTGATCGATATATTAGATAGAGGCGTGATAAATTACTCATTATCGCAACCTTTTACCATTTGTTATATAACATAATATAACTAAAATTCCTCCATTATTCCTTGTGCTTGCTGTTTTGCACTTTACATCACACATCAACAGCCTTTAATAGTCCACTGCTGGACATAGGCCTCTCCTTAGAAAGAAGGTTTTGGCCTACTATATCACGCTGGCCAGTTAATTTTACAATAATTAACTTAAATTAGATTAGACAAGTACAAATGACGGCCTTATCGCTCAGAGGCAATCTCTTACAAGCAACCGGTATGGAGAGAAAACATGAAGGGGAAGAGGTATAGGGTAATGGCTGGTGTGTTAGGAAATAGATAAAAATAGGAAATCAAAGTAGTATATATATAAATATAAAAGATAGTGATAGTTACACATAGTATATATTTGTTGTGCGTTGGTGAGTAAATAACATACTAGAGGGAATATACTATGTGCAGAACAAGGCTAGTGGTGTTAGACCCATATAATGAAATAAATACGTGTGATTTATAACTACTACTAGGCCAAAACCTCCACGGGGGGAGTCGTCTAATCGTCTGTAGATGGCCCGAGGTATGTCGGGGCACCAGGGACTTCCTTTCTAGGGTATACCTGGTTCCCCGGCTATTAGTACCCGAGACGGTGTGCGGTTTTAGTCGGTTCGAGTCCGACATGCCACCGATAGGTGGTATCCGAGGGGATTTCCGCACGGAAAAAAAAAGCCCAAAACCTCCTTTCTAAGGAGAGGCATATGTCCAGCAGTGGACTGCTTAAGGCTGTTGGTGATGATGATGATGATGATGATAACTACTAAGTACATATATTGTATAAAACCTTATTGACTTGGTAGAAAGTTAATAACTTATGGGACATTGATATCTAACAGGTAATATTCTTTCACTTGATTTTTGAAGGAAGCAAGTGTTTGTGCACGTCTCATTGCGACCGGTAGGTAGTAGGTAATAATATGGGCTAAATATATAAGAAAGAAAGAAAAATGTAATAATTAAAATTAATTATTTCAGGCCCCACAACCAGCAAAACCATGGGTCGGAGTGCGCGATGCAAAACAATTTGGCTCGAAATGTATTCAGATTGATATGATGACAAAAGCGCTACAGGGCAGCGAGGATTGTTTGTATCTCAATGTGTATACGCCAAATGTAAAACCAGATAAGCCTCTTCCAGTCATGTTCTGGATACATGGAGGAGCATATATCTTTGGTAGTGGCGAAAATGACTTGTACGGCCCTGAATTCTTAGTCAAGGATGGAGTAGTTATAGTCACCATCAATTATAGACTTGAAGTACTCGGTTTTCTTTGCCTAGAAAATAAAGATGTACCTGGAAACGCTGGTCTTAAAGATCAAGTGGAAGCTCTTCGATGGGTCAATAAAAACATTTCCCAATTCGGAGGTGATCCAAACAACATCACGATATTTGGTGAGAGCGCTGGCGCTTGCAGCGTTAGCTATCATCTTATATCGCCAATGACGAAAGGTCTATTTAAAAGAGCTATTGCCCAGAGTGGAACCGCTTTTTGTCCTTGGGCAAGACAACACAAACCTCGTGACAGAGCATTGACATTAGCGAAACAGCTCGGCTGTTTCTCCGAAGATGATTCTGAATTATATGAGTTCTTTAAGAATCAACCGATTGAGTCCCTTGTCGCCGTCTCTACACCAATATTATTATCGGAAAAGGATTCGACCGTCATGTATTTAAGTGTAGTAGAAGAAAAAAATATCGATGAAAATGAAAAATATTTTGCTGGAGATTACGGCTCCGTACACGATGGAGTCGAAATAATGGCTGGATATACTTCAGATGAAGGCCTTATTACCCTTGGTAGTACAGAAATCGTCAAAACGAAGTTGGAAATGGCAAGAAACTACTTGGAACTTTTTTCACCACAGCTTTTATCGTTTAATTTAACTCCAAATCAGAAACTGGATTTTGGAAGAAAAATCCGTAAATATTATTTTAAGGACAGCTCCAATATTTCGGATGGTTGGGAACAACTAAGTAACTTCTATTCTATAGATATGTTTGTGCACGGTGTAGTTAATTTTGCCAAACTTTGTGCAAAGAAGGAGAAGGTTTATTTATATAAATTTAGTTGCAAGTCTGAGAGAAATATGTTCGCCCATCTACTAAACCTAACAGATATAATTAAAGATAAACCAGTGACATGTCACGCTGACGATATATTCTACTTATTCAATGCCAACTTATTGCCAAATAAAGTTGACAAGAAATCTGATACGTTCCAGCTTATGGAGAGAGTGATTAAACTATGGACCAATTTTGCAAAATATGGGTAAGATTGTTTTAAATCAAACATTGTGTCATGTGACATCAAAATGGGCGGCTGTAGTCACTTACATCAGATGACCAGTCTGCTTGTTCGGCCCCTATACCGTAAAATAATGGCATCCTTATCGGATTACTTTGTTGTCCTTCAGTCTGTCCGTCCTTCGGTCTGTCTGTCAAGGTCCTTTATCTTAGGAACGCATGGAGTAGAACCATAGGTTAAAACCATATACTTAAGTCTATAATCCCTTGAAGCTAAGGAAAAATTCAAACGTAAAAAAGAAGATACGGCCGTTTATGGCGCAAAAAATGCATATTTCAACACTCTCACGAGAATAAAAAATTATAATAAACTATAAAACTTGGCAAGTAAAATCGTCTCATACTACAAGTACAGGAAAATTTTGAAAACTATACATTAAGTAATTAAATCACAAAAAAATATAGTCTTTATTTAAAGTAGGTAGTATCATTTTCACTTATAAAACAATAATATAAGTATTATATGTTTTGGAAACTATATTTCGGGAAAAGCTTGAAAAAAAATGCGAGACTCGATTCTTAAACTGTTTATAATTATGTACCTACACATTTGTACGACACCCTCTTTGGGCGAGTCCGAGTCGCACTTGTCCGGATTTTTTCTCAGTATAATGCCTTAAAGTAACGATCTTTCCCATCGTTGGTCCCATAGTTATTTGTCTTATTCTGGCAACAGCTTATTGGCAAGCCAAAGCAGGGCAGCACTTTGTCTCCATTTCAGCGTCTCAATCTATTCACATTTGTCCACCACCAGTAACCTAACTGGGCCTCAATTCTGCTATTTTATGTTCACGCCAAGCCACTGTCATACCACTGACACGCTATTGAGATGCCATCGAGTTGCCATTGGCATCGGTATAAATATCGGTAGTCTACACTAACTCAGTGTCTTTACAGTGGCAATGGAATGGCAGTTGCTCATTAGTGGTGATATCAAAAAGATTGCCATATTTGGAAAAATAAATAAATAATTTCCTTATAATTTGTAAATGTAATACGTTTTTTTAATTTTGGTCCATAAAGTTGTTATGGATTTATCATATTTATTGATACAAATGTATAAACTACAATGATAAAATACACCGTAATTAACAGAATTATAGTTGCTGTTTTTGTTGTTTTTTAGTTAGTGTAGACTACCGTTATTTATACCGATGCCAATGGCCACTAGATGGCATCTCAATAGCGTGTCAGTGGTATGACAGTGGCTTGGCCTGAACATAAAATAGCAGAATTGAGGCCCTGTTCTTTCGGTTAAGTAACAATTGGTCCCGTCATTGTTTTATTGTTACTTGTGATAGTGGGGCATCGGCTTATTTGCAAGCCAAAACGTAGTGGCACCTCGTTACCATCTTAGCGTCTCAATCTTAAAAAGATTTCATTTATCAACCATCTAAAACCTAACTTTTCTTTCGTTTAACCTAAAACTTATAACTGTACACTTGAACGATAATATTCATATTTACGTTTTGCTTTGTGTTTTGTATACTACTATAATTTAATTATAAAAATCGTGATTTCAGAAACCCAACTCCAGATGAATCTTTAGGAGTTAAATGGGCAAATTACACAGTCGAGAAGCAAGATTATTTGGACATTGGCAATAAGTTCGTCCCTGGAACTGCACCCAATGCTGATGAGGTTAAGTTATGGGATGCCATCTTCGAAGAGAGCGGATATAAATTATATTAATTTTATGATAAATAATAAAATGATGTCAAGTTTTCTATTCGCTGATGTTCAAAAATAAATTAACGTGAAAAAGGATTTAAGTTTAATTTCATTTGATTGATTTTCACTCAGTGTGAGATGTGGTGAGGATGCGTGATACTTATTATTTTGTACTAGCAGAGCCAGCGAATCCGTGTGCCTCGAATTTGGTGCTAGTGCTTTATAAATTTTTAACAATATTTTTGTGCGCTAGCCATAGCATAGCGCATTTAGCGCCATCACATGGCTCTTGTACGGTATCAACTCATTGTCAACCAATGTGACAAACATGTCAAATAGGTTTTATTTCGTGAGGAATAAAACTCTGATCGTTAATCAATTAGGCGCTGGAACTTACTATAAGTATGATACCAAACGTATGATTTGATAGTGGTGTTCCATTGGTATGTTGTAGGGTAACCAAGCTACCACTAACTAACCTCCGATAGCTTGGTTGCCCCTCAGAGCCCCTGGTGACTCTTTAGGGCCTCAGAGTCAAAAACCTCCTCACAATATATCCTGCATCAGGCACTTATTCCAACTGCCTAACGTGATCCTCTACGTATTAAAATTAATTATAATAAGAAGCGAAACTACATACTAGTCTTTTTATATGATCTTAGCGTTACCAAAATTATTAAAGTTTAATAAATGATCAGTTCTGTTAAACTATACACAGCAGGTGCTATGGTATGGTACTGATAAACACACTTATATATTTCATAAATTACACCCACACATGCAACGATTGGTCGTGCTCATCACTCAATTCATGTTTAGTTTTTTTCAATTAATTTACAACATGCGCCTACATCATGATGTATAGCAATACACTTTATTATTCATTTTCTGTGAGGCCGTTTCACTGGATGTCTGTGGGGCCGGTCATCACTCCGGTAGAGCCGGTCCATATATATGGCTCTCCCGCGATTAAAAATTTTTTTATTGTTATGTCATAATAAGATAAATCTACTTCTTCTTCTCAGCCGAAAGACGTCCACTGCTGGACATAGGCCATCACATTTTCGCTGCAACAACCGGTCCTGTGTGTCCGGCCTACATTAAATGCTTTGCCGCGACCTTTTTCAGTCTGTAGGATCAACTTGTGGAGGCCCAATGATTTAATTTGATGGTTGATTAAATGCTGTATACTTAATTATATACATTAGCAAATTGATAAAAGTATGAGATCTTATTTCCCTGTGAATGCACCAAGCCCTTAGCATTCTTGTCCAACACGTAGATTTCATGCCGTTCTCTTATAATACGGGATGGTTTATTAAGAATTGGAGGGCCTGGGAAACAGAGCCTTGGGAGAGCGAACCTTTGGAAGAAATTTACGTTTACACTCTTATACGATAAAAAGATCATATTTAGATACGAACGCACGCCTCCTAGTTTCTTTATTGGTATTGAAATATAAGGAGTAAATTATTGAGAATTAATAATTTTGCTACCGCAGTCTTAGTTTTGTTTCCCATCCAAGACCCGACCCTTTTTCCATACACCATGTTCCTCTTCTTAAAAGACCATTTTCGTTCTGATGTTTTACATTCATTAGGGCCATTCGAGTTTTAAGGAAGTGAATAAATACTATGAATAGAAATAAACTTGTTGTGTAAACATACCTGTCCGTAGGCTCAAAAAGATAAACTACTCATTTCGAGGTCAACGTGTCCGATTTTGTAGTAAAATAAAAATAATATTCAAGACATATACATTAATATACTCGTATGTCTTGTACGTCTATATTAATAATAACAAATTAAAATTCGCAATAACACGTAAAGCCTATTACTCAATTGTGGATTACATAGTAGACAAAAATGCTTGGGCACTGAAACATCCAGGCCCAATTCCATCCCATAAAACCCATCCCTTTTCACTTCCTTCCTATCTTCCGCGGACACTAAGTGGTTGGTGAATGCGTCCTTATTTGTGCCGTGTGCAGGGTCCCGTAAGGGGGAATGAATGGATCCTGGTAGTTGAACCGAAAGGCAACACACTGCTTTGGCCTGGATTTCGCCTTACACGGGAGGCTGAAGGCAAGGCACCTTTGGTCAATCGGCTGTAGCATCGGCCGAGCGAGAGTTCTTCCTTGGTGGGGGTGGACGATGAGTGAGACGACCAAGTCTGCAGACCTAGTTCGGCCTGCTTTCTGTCAAGGGGGTTGGCTCAATTTCTCCTTGTTACTTCTAGCGCTGTGTGCCTTCTGCCACCACGTCCCCACTTGAGGTCTCCAAGGACGGTGGAAGGACATATAGATGAACAAATAACCAAATAAAATGAAAACCAAAAATAAAAAAATGAAAAACCAACCAAGCCGGCATCGAGGGTGAATAACCCAACTGTAAGACTAGAACACCAAACGGCAGCCCCTCGGGTGAACAACCCGAGTGGGAAGCCAACTAACACACCAGTGGCTGCTTGTCGGGTGAACAATCCGACCGTAGTGCCATCCACGACTCCGGCGACACCCAGGCGTATGACCAGAGTAGGGCGCTGGTTTAGACTATCGATCTCTCTTCTTTGAGGACAGCAATATCCATACCTGCTAGGCCCAGTCAGGATGAATCCGGATGGAGCCTGGTACCTGGTACAAGTCCGAACCAGTCCAGACAGAACCGAAATGGCAACAGGGCGAAAGCCCGAGCGGAAGCTAGGCGAGCACGGCGTCTGACCTCGGATAGTAGTAAGCGACATGAAGCTGCTGAAGGGCCCGCAAGGCTAAAGGAAAATGACTTTGCGTCGCGGTCATGCTGGAGTCATACCACGACCTTACCAAGGTGCAGGCGGAGCACATCAAGGGCCAGCTGCAGGGCGTGCTGGATGAGGAGATCTTCTCACCCGGCGCGTCAAGCGCTCATGTCGTTGCGCCTCAGTTTAGAGGCAAGGCCTTCTACAGTGAGGGCGCCCTTAAAATGTGGTGTAATGACGAATATGCCCTGCCCTGCCCTGCAATGGTTTCGCCGATCCCTGAATAAGATCGTGTCTCCGCGTTAAGGTACTAAGCTGGTGATCAGGAGGCAGTCCAAAATCCCAAAAAGGATCAAATGCCGGTGCTGAATACAAACGAGGTTGAGGTACCAGAACAGCCAATACAACGTGGCCAACTGGGCCCTCTACCTACCTATGCCGAAGCACGAATGCCTATTCCTGATGCTTGGAGTCCCAGAGGAGGACGTTTTAAAATTAAAGGCAAGCGAGCGGAGAGTTTACTATAAACTAGACAACCTCTACGTTTGCTTCCTTGACGGACGTTCTGCCCCACCAACAAACCCCGACGAAGTGCCAGAAATGGCCCTACACCACCCCAAGGACGGCAGTGGAGGTAATCCACCAAAGCCCGTCGAGGAAACAGCCCCACGGGGTCCACCTCCCAAGCAGTAGGAGGACCTATCTGCGGGCGAGAGTAACCTTGACGAGGACATGTCGGAAATGCTAAGCGATGATGATGGCGCTGTCAGTATCCTCCCCCAATAACACCCTCGAAGTCATCCAAACCTCCATCACAGTCAGACAGCAACGGCTAACCTACGAAGAGTGCTGGAGGTAAACACCAACACCGTAGGCCTAATCCAGGAGCCGTGGATTAGGAAGTGACCGAGTTCTGTTCCAGAGACCCACTATTAGGTTAAAGGAACCCTTATCGGACCTGCCTGACGTGGTGGTAGCGTCAGCCTACTTGCCGGGCGACGCTGTCAGCTCCACTCCGGAGTTGGCTGCGCTGGCACACCATTTCGAACGCGAGGAGGTCTGGAGCTGATCTTGTCTACTGACACCAACGCGAATCATGCATCGTATTCGGACTGTCGCTGGATCAAATTCAATTTTAAAATGAATCCTAAACCACCCGATCCCCGACGGAATCTCCGTAAGGTGGACCGGCAACGGTATGGGCATCTTACTAAACTGCCAAGCAAGCATCGACTCAGCATATGATCCGGGGACTGTTGCGGACATTGACAGCCATGTTGTTAACCTTACACAAACACTGACCGATTGCTTTGAACAAACATGCCCCACTTTCTACACCCAGCACTGGACCACAGAACAGACACCAGTGGTGGGGACCGGAACTGGAAAGACTAACGAATTGGTAAGGTGAGAAAGTTGTTCAAAAAAGCAAAAAACACCCGCCTAGACCAACACTGGGATGCCTATACGCAGGTCCGGCAACAATATAAGAAGCGAATAAGAACCAGGAAAACTGAGTGCTGGAGAAGCTTTTGTACCAACATAGAAAACAACGACAAGGGCAACAACACAAGGGGAAAACAACATCAGAGTCAAAAACAAATTGTGTAGCAAAGGCGAACACAATCTTGACTCACTGAAGAAGCCTGATGGTGAGTATACCAAAACAGACTCGGAAACCTCAGAGCTGTTATTGAAAACACACTTTCTTGGATGTCGCATAAGATGTGATGGAAATATGGGAAGACATGTGGGAAAGAACACCATACGATATAGACTGTGACACGGCCCGCAAAGTTGTCAACCGTGATAAACTCAGATTCAGGCAAGCTTCCTGCCATTCAAGGCGCCATCATTGGATGATATCTTCCCAGACATGCTGAGATGATGTGGTGATTCTACTGGATCACCTTGTAATTTTTTTTTATGTTATAGGGGCAGACGAGCTGACGGGTCACCTGATGGAAAGTGACCATCGCCGCAAATGAACGTCTGCAACTCAGGAGTCACAAACGCGTTGCCGGCTTTTTAGGAAGGAGTACGCTCTTTTCTTGAAGGTTTGAAGGTCGTATCGGTCCGGAAATACCGCAGACGATAACCATTTATACAGATTGGATGTGCGGGGTAAAAAGTGTCTCGAGAAGCGCACAGAAATGGAGCGCGAACTATCCTCGTGATGAGGATGAAAATTTTGCTGTGTGGAACAATGGCGGAAAGTTGCGGCTGGTATTAGTCCGAACAATTCCTCGGAGCACTCTCCATGATATATGCGATAGAGGATTCAT